CTCTCTCTCTCTCTCTCTCTCTCTCTCTCTCTCTCTCTCTCTCTCTCTCTCTCTCTCTCTCTCTCTCCCCTTGGTTTCCCTCTGGCTCTCCCTCCTCTCTCTCTCTTTCAAACATTGGTTTTGGGAGAAGGATCTTTTGGTGGGTGCAAAAGCTTAAGAGGGGTGGAGGAGGAGGATGTGCTGAGTACTTAGCCTGCTGGTTGAGGTAAGTCTGTTTGATAGATGCTGCATCGGTCTTTTTGTCCTTGGTTCTTCCGAGTTTCGGCTCGAGTGTCATGGTGCCCCATCTCCTGCTCTGTCTGTGTAAACGGCCCTCTGTAAATGTCACAGTTTTTTGGACACGCTTAACCTTCCGTTGCTCACAATCTGTTTCACAGACTGGAATAGGGCAAGGTGTGTGCCGATTGCACCATAGATGGTGCAGACAGTAGAAGCTGATCGCAGGACTCCTCATGCACCCGGATAGTGAAGGACGAAAGTGAGAGGATCACACCGATCATGGTGTGGCATTGAATATGACTACAGAACGCTCTACGTGCACTTGGACACTTTTTCTTGACAGGGTACATTCAAAATGTTGGACTGGTCCGCATGCACATGGTTGAGAAACCGGTCAAACGCATGCTGAGTGTTCCGTAGTATGTGCGAGAGACCTAGTAGTTTGATACCAACCGATGGGCCTCGCTCCACTGCTCATGAAATGTGAAGAGCGAGAATGAATCTTTCGGTTTAACATGGGAAGATACCCGGTCATGTTTTCGTCTACACCGCCGTGTTTGTCTTTTCTGCAAGTGGTGAGTACACTTAGTAGTGAATGTGCAAAATGAGAATGAATCTTCCACTATGACATGGGAAGATACATCTCCATGTTTTCATTTTTTCTGCATGTGGCGAGTAGTGGATCGAGGCATGAGGCCCAAGGGTTCCCAAGCAGTGAGCGTAGGAGTGAAACGACCTGCTGCAGCTGTTTGGAGAATAGGGGTAGCCAAGGGATGTGATGGGGTGTGAGGAGGGGCGTCGGTGTAGGCTATTTTCGAATTAAATCACCTTGGAAAACATCCAGGCAAAACAGGACCAAGGG